AGCTCAATTCACCATGGACAAACATATAAGACATCACAAAAATTTGAACTACCAACATTGGGGCCTCATACTTAAGAATATGGATGACAAGCAATATCAATCTTGATGTTTTTTCTTATTATTATAAATATTAGATATACCTTTGGCTGGTGGAGGTGGCACCTTTTTGGGAACAGGCACTTCCTCTTCTGGGACAGGTTTGGGAACTTCAGGCACTTTTAAGATAGTACAAAGGATTTTTTGTAAAGGTTTTGGTCTCAAGTCAACATATACAAACACATAAAGACATCACAAGACTCTGACCTACCAATATTGGTGTCTACTACTTAAGAATATGGATGACGAGCAATATCAATCTTGATGTTCTTTCTTACTATTATGAATGTTAGATGTACCTTTGGCTGGTGGAGCTGGCACTTTTTTGGGAACAGGCACTTCCTCTTCTGGGACAGGTTTGGGAACTTCAGGCACTTTTAAGATAGTACAAAGGATTTTTTGTAAAGGTTTTGGTCTCAAGTCAACATATACAAACACATAACTTTGGCTGGTGGAGGTGGCACCTTTTTGGGAACAGGCACTTCCTCTTCTGGGACAGGTTTGGGAACTTCAGGCACTTTTAAGATAGTACAAAGGATTTTTTGTAAAGGTTTTGGTCTCAAGTCAACATATACAAACACATAAAACATCACTAAACTTTGAATGACCAATATTGGTGTCCAATACTTAGGAATCGGGATGACAAGTAATTTTTTTCATACTACTATTACAAATATTAGATACGCCTTTGGCTGGTGCATCTGGCACTGTTTTGGGAACCGGCATTTCTGTTTCTGGTAACTTGAGACATTTTTAAGATAGTATAGAGAATTTTTAAAAACTATTTTGGTCTCAAGTCAACACAAACACATATGACATCATAAAACTCTAAACTACCAATATTGGTGTCTAATGCTTAAGAAGAAGGAAGACAAGTAATCAATTTCAAACTACTTTTACAAATATTAGATCTACCTTTGGCTGGTGGAGCTGGCACTTTTTTGGGAACAGGCACTTCCTCTTCTGATGACAAGTAATTCTTTTCATACTACTATTACAAATATTAGATCTACCTTTGGCTGGTGGAGCTGGCACTTTTTTGGGAACTGGCACTTTCTCTTCTGGAACAGGCTTGGGAACTTCAGAGATTGAAAGATAGATATTTGTTCTTTAAGATTTTAAGCTCATTTCACCATGGACAAACATATAAGACATCACAAAAATTTGAACTACCAATATTGGTGCCTCATACTTAAGAATATGGATGACAAGCAATATCAATCTTGATGTTTTTTCTTAT